CTCAGGCGACGCCGCGGGCCGCGGGCAGGCCCGGTCTCCTTGCGACACGGAGCCGGTCGGCGTCTCCGCCCGGCCCCTTTGCCCGCCCCAGGTGTCCAGCAGAAGGCTGCTTCAGGCGGTCTGCCGCCTGCTGCTCTGACCGGGCGCCATCGCCTCCTCACTTCGGCGCCTTGCTTGGGATGATGTCAGCTTGCGGGGGAGGAGGAAAAGCCCCCGCCCCCGGGGCCCGTTTGGAGCTTGGCTGGCAACTGAAAGCCAGCCATGGTTCTCGGGTTGGCCGACTTGCAGGATGTGGAATGAGCTGCGATGCCCCAAAATATCAAGCCACATACCACAGTTTATAAACAAATTCCAGGGTTCCCACACCAGGCTAGACTAGGCTCGAACTGGTTTGGGTGGTTTGTGTGGTGCAAAGCAAGCCAATGCACCCAACCCTAACAGTGCTTATTTGTAGCATTTATTTATTTAATTCATTTACGCAATTTAATACATTGATATGGCCGCCCATCTCATATACATGACTCTGGGCAGCTGATAATTAAAACAGAATAAAAATACAACCAATAATTATGAAGATAAATCACATAAAATAACGCAAAATAGCAGCTGAGAACGCTCACAGCATCCCACAATCGATATAGCCAGTGGGCTCACCCATACTATCAGGGCCCCAGGCTTAAGAGCAGAACCAAGTTTTTAATGCCTTATGAAAGGCCAGCAGGGTCAGGGCCAGTCTGATGGGGTGTGCGTGTGTGCTGATGCTCCAAAGGGTGGGCGCCATGACAGAAAAGGCCCTCCTCCTGGGTCCCACCAGATGGCACTTTCTCGTGGACGGGACCTGGAGCGTGCTTCTCTTGCCGGATCTAGTGGGACTGGTAGACACCACTGGGGAAAGTAACCTGGCTCCAAGCTGTGAAGGGTTTTAAAGGTGACCACCAGCACCTTGAATTGTACCTGGAAGCAGACTGGTGGCCAATGCAGCTCAAAGATGTCAGCTTTGTGAGAAGTACTAGCTCTAACTTCAATCTAAGGTTACATTAACAGAATCTTGCAAATCAGAAAGTACATCCCCCCCCCCTTCCTGCCTTTACAGTCCAAGAAACTAGGGAGGGCCCCTTCTGAGACCGTTGCCATACCCCCATTGCTTCTGCGGGCTCAGCTGCCTCTTGTCTGACCGTTGCCTAATCTGCAGCTCTTCCTCCTGTCTCCCAAGGCCATTCCCACATACCACTCTTCAAATACTCTTCAAGGGCAGCCCCATGTAGAGCACACTGTAGTAATCAATTATGTCTTGGTCACTGGGTACAGGATGGTATTTTAATTCAGTCACTGCCTGAAGGGACTGAAGCTGAGGATTAGATTCACGTGTAATGTGAAACCATAATGTTGCTTGATTCTGAGTCTCTGTGTTAATGCATGCTAGCCATTTTGGTTTGTCACAAGGATTGCCTTGCTGGATATCGGATTCCTGACCATGGATCCCCATGTCACCCTTGACTGATGGCTATGTGTGCAGTCTGAACACATTCCATTGTGTTGATTCAATCAACAATGCTTCAGCAAAACATGATTTAGCACTAGCCATGGATCTGATGCCTGGAACATATTGATATCCTCTTCTCTGTCTCCTCTAAAGGAAAGAAGCTAGAAAGCGCACACCTCGCCTTCCAAATAACAGTGGTGAAAAGCGAGGGGCCAGGGTTCCCAACACTGCCAAACACCTTACAGTCCTAAGGCAGGGTTCCTCAACCTTGGTGACTTGAAGGTGTGTGGACTGCAAGTCGCCAAGGTTGAGGAACCCTGTCCTAAGCATGGTCTTCTCCATGCTTACCATCCAGATCTTTAATCCTCTGCCTAACCGGATGTTTTATCAGGACCATCCTTTCTCAGGTAAGGAGAGGAAAGTGCTCAAAGATTTGAGGTTGTCTTATAACAGGAAAGGGCACTAGTTTTCAGACTCCAGGTTGGGGTTTATACCAACCCCTGGGATACTTCTAATGTTTTCCAACTTCCGCAATCACTGAAATTACCTGATCCAGCCCTCTTATTGGTGCAACCTTCTCTAGCAGTGATTTTGCTTTTCGTGATAGGGTTGACAGCTGTTTGGGACATCTGGCCTTGAAAATGTGCACCCACTATTGAAATGGAGATTTCAGGGCAGTCTTCGGTCATATTATATCACTTGGTAGGGAAATTCTCTGAACCCCTCTTGCTATCAGGGATTTACTGTCACTAACTTTAAACTCTCCTTCTGGCAGTGGCTTCTGTGCAGAAGGTTCTCCTGCTGGCAGCTCTATTTAAGCTAGCAGGGCCCAGCCTTTTCCTTCTTTCGAAGAAAGCAGTTTCAGATTCACGTTTAAACCAGCTGTTGGTCCTGCCTGCTTTTCCCTCCCCCAAATGTTGCTTGATGTCCATTGAGCCCATAACTCAGGTTTTCCAGAACCTGGCC